CATCCATCATCCATCATCCATCATCCATCCATCCATCATCCATCCATCCATCCATCCATGATCCATCCATGATCCATCCATCCATCCATCCATGATCCATCCATCATCCATCCATCATCCATCATCCATCCATCATCCATCATCCATCCATCATCCATCCATCCATCATCCATTCTCTTCCCAGCCTGTACTTGGGCTTGGCATTGCCCCAATTCCATGTAGGACCTTTTCCTTGGCCTTGTTAAGTGTCATGAGTTTTTCACATCTCCACCTCTCCAGGTCCTTTCCATGGATGCCCCATCCCTGCCCTCCAGTGTGTGACCCCAACACGCAGCTCGGTGTCACCAGGACGCTGCCCAGGATGCCCATGAGCCCCTTTGTCACTGGGACATGAACTCCTACATCAACCTCTGAGAAACACCACACCAAACTGCCCTCAAAAAAAAAATAAAAAAAAAAAAAAATTGTTCTCCAACTGCTTCAGAAACCATGGAAGTGGGGGCTTGTGAGATGCTTTGTCTCTTGAATGTTTACCTTCCCTGGAGACTGTGACCCTTCTCCCAGATCAGGGTGAATGGGAAAGGCCACGGGCCTGGCTGAGCCTTCTGGTGAGCACCAACACAAGCACCAAGCCCTCGCACTCAGAGCCCACCCGCTGCTCACCTGGAGAATTGAAACAGGAATATATTGATGCCAGCAGCAGCTCCTCCAAGCAGAGAGGTGCCATCCACACCTGGGCTGTGGCACAGTGATTAGAAGCAGAGGATGCAGAGCAGAACATCTGGATTATATCTTTATTTTACCTTTTTTTTGTTGTTGTTTGTTTCTTGTAGCCTTTCAGGTTTAGCTCTAACAGCTTGAAGCTGTTAAATCTTTTTCATGGAGACTTCTCTGAAGCTTTGCTGTCCAGCCTGTCTGGTGTTGGGGAACCAGCTGAACTAGGAAGATTTTGCTGAATGATGGGTCTGAGTCTATCACAGAAAAATTTACAGGAGTTAGAGACACAACACACACCTTATGGTCCCAGGGGCTCAGATGGCCAGGGAGGATGGAAGCACCAGCAGCGAGGGAGCCAGGCAGGCACTGCCTCTGGGGGGCCTCCGGCTCTGGGCACACCCCAGAATATTCCAGCAGCTGATTTTCTTCCTAAAGGTTTTGTTCTTCAGTTCATCCCCTGAGGAACTGATAAAACCAATGACAGTTTCTTTCAAAAGACCTTCAACAATTCACTTAAGAAACTCCAGTTGGTAAATTCAGTTAAAACAGCAACGACTTCCTCCAGGAGAGGACAGGCTGAAGATAAAGATCTGGGTTGCTGATGCGTTTCATCACTGAGGCTGCTCCAGAAGCCATGGAAACTCCAGCAGAGCTGCAGCACATCATCCAAAGTCTTTGGTCTGTCCTTGCCCTGACTCCCATCCACCACAGGACATGGTGCCTTACTGTGGCATCAAGATCCTCATGGAATATTTCTCTCTATGGAGCAGCAGCTTTCCAAACAAGTCCCTCCTGTCAAGGGAACCCTGCAGAATCCCCCCCAAAACCCCAGAGTGACTTCTGGCACCTTGGTTGGATTCCCAGAGGCTCCAGATGCAGGAGCACACGCCTGACGCAGTGCTCACACACCAGTGGAGCTGGGAGTGCAGGGGGCCAGCCCAGGCATCCTGGGCAGCCCAATGCCCACAGCCCTCCCTGGTGGCCACCCCAGCCCCTGCCCTCACCCCACACCTGGGGCATCCACAGCCACAGCTGTCCCTCTGACAAGGGGACACACAACGTGCAGAACATCCCCAAGGTGCAGGTGTGGCTGGTATCATTTCCCCACCCCCTGAAGAAGCATCACTGAATCTTTGGCTTTTTTAAGGAAAATGTATTTTTGTGAAAATAGACTTTATTATAATAAAATCTGATATTAAATAAAAACATACCATACCACCATCACTCATGGCCGCTGTGCTGGCACCACTCACGGAGCTCACAGAACTGCCCTGCTCAGAACAAGGACCCATTGGAACATGCAGAGAAAGAAATACAGGGAAGGACAGAAACCACGGCATATAAACCCCTCCGTGCTTGGACAGGGCTGTGTCTCAACTGCAGGAACACATCTACAGGAACAGTGCGAGCTGCCCAGCCCCAGCCCTGCTCTCCCAGCACTCTGGCTCAGGAGCAGCTCAGACACAGCTGAACAGAACCGCGGAGAGAGGCAGACAGACAAATAAATAAATAAATAGGTAGATAAATAAATCAATTGATAAATAAACTGATAAATAAATAATAAGGCGGAGTCCCCAGCCAGTGTGTGATCAAGGGGAACCAGGCAGGAGCAGCTGGCAGCAGCCCACCCCCACGCTGAAGAACTGACCCCCACCAGGGCATCGCTCCTTCCCCTCCGGGATCCTCGTGCTGGAAGCTGACTGAGGCAGTGTGGGATGCTCCGAGGCACAGCTGCATATTTACAGGGTTACAGTACAAATAAGAACTCACTCATCAGCCCAGAGACAGCGAAGGGGAGTCACAGGAACAGAAAAGTGCAGACTTTCTTTGCAGCAAGTGAAGGAGTTGACACAACCTCCTTTGGAGCAGAGAAATACCAGGGTGTGGAATACAAGGGATCTCTCCTAAGGGGCCAGGGTTTTGCTGGGAAAAGCCAGTTAGCTAACTTACAGCCAGAATATAATCCTTAAATTAAAATATTTACAGGGAACCAGTACACTGAGGGCTACATGGAGTAGGACATGCTGGATCCCAGAGCTGAGCCCTCACACCCCAGAGCCACGTTTTCCCCAGGGGCTCTCAGCTCCTACACCCTTCAGAGTTTTCTCTAGTCAACACATACTTCTTCCCTATGAAAATAATCATCTTATTGCAGAGGGCTTCTCCTGAACTCAGTCTCTGGGGCTGTGCGGGCAGCCCCGATGGAATAAACCCCTTGTTAGTTTTTCTTATTGGACCCAAGTTTTTTGAAGAGGTTTTTCCCTTTGAAGAAGAAGCCTCTCTTCTTTTTACTCTGCCCAGGTGCACCAGTGCAGGTGAGGAGGGCCAGCGATGCCTGCTCTGGACACTGCTTGCCTGGGACAAGGCAGGAAGGTGCTGGCAGAGGAGATGGAGAGGAGTTGCTCTGATCAACAGATCCATCTGGATTTAGCTATGTGGGAAAGAGAAAAAACAAAAGACAAAAGCGCAAGTTAGAGCTGCAGAAGGAGATCACACCAACATAAACCTCAGCCAGAGAACCTGGCCTTCTCCCCTCTATGCAGGTGCAGTTCTACTTAGGACGTTTCCAGTGGATTTAAAATTTGTACCTATAACCCAGACCCTTCCTTAGCTAAGAATTCCAGAAATTTCTGAACTTTGGGCTAAGAACAGGACAGCACAAAAGACCCACTAAGGACATGGTGAAAGATGCTGCTCCACAGCCAAGTAAGTGAAGCAGCTCCCGAGAGCGTGGATGGAGACAGGTACTGATGATGCCTCAGCCATGGAGCCTGCTGGGCTCTCAGTGTGCTCTAGGACACAAGTCAGGACATTAACAAAACCAAATTTCGTAAGAACAAGTGCCCTGCAAGACCTCCAGAAGATTACAGAGACTGGCCAAGCCCTGAGGCTTCTCAACAGTGGCCATGGTAAGAAGAGGAACTGGGAGTCCTGCAAGGGTGCTCAGCATCCAGCAGATGCAGAAAGCCAAGTCTGGGAGTAAACCCGAATAAATCCAGCTGAAACATCTGCAGCCAAAAATGCAAGATTTATGGAGGCAAAGAGAAAAAGAAAGCCAGGTGAGGGCTAACATGGAGCCCACTCTCTTAGCAGGGAGCAAAAGAAAGAATCCCCAGGTTCTGCTCCAGAAACTGTTTATGATTTCTGTAACAAAGAATCCTTGGATAAAATGCCCCAGAGCACTGGGCTAGCAGCAGAAGGGGCTCACCAATGCTCAGGGTGTGATGTGGGAGGGATGTAAATGCCCCTGGGCAGCCAGAGCAGCGCAGGCTCGGTCCATGCACCATTGGAAAACACTTTTTGGGTAAAGGTGGAACAGCTTCAGGACAGGCCTGAAGTACCTCCACAAACAATTTCTTCTCTTCTCAGAGGTCTCTGTGAGGCAGGAAAGCAACAGAACCAGCTCCCAGATTCATGTGGTAAGAGAAAAATCGTACTAAAATGGGGGTTTCTTCTCTAAGAGAAACAAAGGAAAAACTGCTCTGTCAAAATCCTCATACAAGTTATTAGTGACAAACACAAGAGTGATACCAGTTTTAAGGGGTGGTTTTAGTGCTCTCTCAGGTGTTACTGATCAACACAATTTCTGGAAAACAAACATTTGAAACTAAGGAAAACAAACACTGCTTCCACTGGCCCCCAAAACCAGGGGTCTCACCCACCCAGCCCCAGAACAACTATCCACACAAGGTTGGTTTTAGGGACCAAATGTTACTATTTTCTTAAATGGATGGTGGGCAGGGGTTTTTCACAACTATTCTCAGGAAGGAGCAAAATCCAGAAGGAAAAAACCCCAGGCTGAATCTGAAGCGTGCTCAGACTGAGGAGGATCTTGCAAAGGTCAAATGATGCTTTGGTTGTAGATGTGAACAGAAAGGCCAAGCTGAATTACAAAGCAGGTCCTTCCCAAACCTGAATATCCAGCACAGTCCCATCCTGGTCCCCAAAACCACCAGATAATTGTTCCAACCAACTGCACTTGATGTGCTGAATGGTTTGTCTTTACCACAGAACCCAGGTGGCAGTGAAAGGTCTGACATCAGACCTGAAGGTAGATTTGCCACCACAGCCCTAAACCAGCCTGTCAAACCATAAGCAAGAAAAGGAGCCGGCTCCAGATGGAGGAGCCTTTGAGGTACTGGGCTGGGTGGGAGGTTGAAGGTCTCACACACTTACATGGTTGCTCTCTCTATGTATCATTCATATCTATCACTGGACTCTTCTCTTCCTCATTCTCTGAAGAAAAGAACCGTCCCGGGTGCATAACACAGGCAGAAATAAATACATGAAATCAATTAGAATCAAACACTTTCTGAAGGCGCTTTACAATCAGTCTTTGACAGAAATAGCATGTCACTGATGGAAAAATATTCCATCAACAGAAACAGCATTAAAGCAGTTGCTCTGAGCTGGTAAGCATGAGTGTTTTGGGCTGGCTGTGGTCAAAACTTCTTGGATCCTCCTCTTTGTGATGTTTTGGTTTGTTTATTCTAATCCCCAAATGTGTTGTTTTCTGCCACTTTCTGCACTACCAGTATATCCTTGGGAAGAGCTCCCAGCACTTCTTGGGATGAAAAGGCTGCATGCAGCAGGTTGAGTGATCTCACGGGTATTGCATGCCATGCAATGCCCAGGCTCCAGACACGCTGCAGCCAGCAGGGCAGTGCCATGCAGTCACACATCTCACCTGGCTCTCAGCACTCAGAGGAGAAGCTTCTTTATCTTTTGAGTGGAATTCCTTGGCCATGTCTCCATCCAAAGGGACAGCTTCCAGGAAGTTGGATGGGACAAGCCCTCTCTGTTGGTTCAGCTCTCCCTACAAGATCAACATTCAATTTTCACATCATCTTTCCTGGAGAAATAAATAACAACTCGAGGTGCAGTGCCCTGCAGAGAAGGTTGGGCTGTGGATTGAGACAAGTCCAGAACACACCCACATAGAGAGGATCCACAGAAAATTCTATAACTCACATCCTTCCTTAGTTGTGGAACAATTCAGAGCACAGAAGCACAGAAGAGAGTAAAGGAAGAAGAGATGACAGCAAGTTGTGACAAAGGTGATTCCTACAAACTCAAAATCTCCACTACCATAATGGAATATGACTGTGCCACAGGTGCCCCAGAGGCCTTTGATTTGCCTTGGTATTTACTGATGCCTTTAAGAATGAGGCAGTACTGGTACAATGTCCTGTAGGCATTGCATCCATGACCACAGAGCTGCATTTCTGTATTCCTACAGTTCAACAGGAGGAGGTTGGGTGAGACAAAACCCACCCCAGCAATGCTGTTTGTCCAACACTGTAAAAGGATCAAACAAAACATTCTCAGTGATGCCCTCAGACTTAACCTGGAGCACAACCTCAAGTCTGATGTGTGACTTTCCCATCCAGGAAGAGGTGGATGATCCAAGGGCCAAGGCTCAAGTTTGGCACACAGCTGGAGGGCAGGAACAGCCCCAGGAATGTGTCTGCTTACTTGAATCACCATTCCAGCCTCTGGCTCAAGTGCCCAAAGTGCCTGGTGAAATGCTAGCTCTGAGTAGGTGCTGGTTCAGCTGGTGTGTGCATGGAAAGACACAGGCAAAGCTTTGGGAAACTGGCAGGCAACTGATGCCAAAAAATAAACTCAGAACCATTGGGACATTCAAAGGCCATGGAGATGCTCCCAGGGCTGGAGCCTGTCTGCTCTGAAGCCAGGCTGGGATACCTCAGGGTGTTCACCTGGAGGAGAAACGGTTCCAGGGGAGACCTCAGAGCCCCTTCCAGGGCCTAAAGAAGCTCCAGGAGAGCTGCAGAGGGACTTTGCACAAGGGACAGAGAGACAGGACAAGGGAAAATGGCTTCCTTCTGCCAGAGGGCAGGGATAGAGGGGATACTGGGAAGGAATTGCTGGCTGTGAGCATGTCGAGTCCCTGGCACAGGTGCCCAGAGCAGCTGTGGGTGCCCCTGGATCCCTGGCAGTGCCCAAGGCCAGGCTGGACAGGGTTTGGAGCAGTGTGGGATGGTGAAAGCTGTCCCTGCCCATGGAAGGGGGTGGAACAGGATGAGCTTTAAGGTCCCTTCCCCAAACCATTCCAAGATTCTGTAATATTGGATTTACAGCAGGAGAAATGAGCACCAGAAACAGGCTGCCCTGAACTAAGTAGAAAGGGGTTTATTTTTTTCCCAAAAGCAGAATACTTTGTTCCCTGATTTCTGCTTCCCTCCCACTGCATGAACAATTTCCAGTG